GAAAATGTGTGCTTTCAGCTATCTGAAAAATGAATTAGAAAGATTTATTAAAAAAAAGGAAGAGTATTAAAATCACAAATGACGAAATGTAGAGATAACATTAGAAAATGTGAATTACATTTAAAGAAGTATAATGTATTTAGTAGTGTCTTGAAAGAAATATTTGATTAGTCGTATAGAAAATGTGGGGAGACTGATATCAAAAAGTATATTTAGGAGCAATTTAGCACTGAAGAAGGTCTAGATGAAGTAATCTTAAAATTATATAGAAAACCTAATGTTGGGTTTGAAATTGGAGATAAAAGCTGAAGAAACATCTTCAGGAGTTTGTTAAACTTGCCTACATTTAGTGGAAATTTGGAAGAGTGGATAACTTTCAGTGATCTGTTTAATGCATGTATGCAGAGTAATCCAGAACTGTGAAATGCTCAAAACGTAATAGTATTAAAAAGTGATGCATATTGTATTGTGCAGGTAGTAGCGATAACAATTATATCATAATGTGGAAATTATTGAAAGATCATTACTCGAATAAGTGTGAGTTAATATTTGCACAATCTAAAAGATTATTTTAATTTATTTCAATTAAAAATGAATCAGCTTCAATGATTCTGAGCTTAGTGAACACAGTGAATGAAGTTGTTCATGGTGTAGAGAGGCTACAAGAGAAAATAGAGAACTTTGGTGATAAATTATTGGTTTACGTTGTTTTGCAAAAATTAGCTTTATAAATTAAATTCTGGTGAGGCAGTTAAAAAAAGATGAAATCCCCAAATTAAGTGAACTGATTGAATTTTTTAAACATTATGCAAGGACATTACAAAACAGTAGAACGTCAACAGGAAAGGCTTTTGAGGATAATAACATATACATTTATTGCAAATGCTGTCAAGAATGTACTTACTGTCAACAAGATCGAAGTTTATAAAATTGACCAAAATGCTTTTAATTAGATGTGCAGAAGAGACCTGAATATGTAATATTAGTTTATGTTTCAAATGTATTTCAAACATGTATAAGTTTAAAAATTGTAAAAGTGTATATAAATGTAATTAAGGGAAACCTCATCACGGTGTAAAAGAAGTTAAAAAGACCCGAATACAAATCATGTATTCCTAAAATGTTATGAGTTTTTTCACTATGCAGATTGCGACAATCCATTGTAGTCTGTGTGACCGCTTCGAACACTAAGCACAATACAATTTTACTTTGTTCTGCAGCGATTAAAATTCAGAATGCAAAGCAAGAGTTAGCAAAATGAAGGTGCTTGTTAGATACTGGAAGTCAAAGGTCATTTATTACTAGAGAGTGTGCAGAAAGATTGGGTTTCAGCATGAAAGATAGTTCATCTTGATATTTAAGCACTTTTAGCACTGTGAGTAATGGAAAAGTTTATTTATTGTTTACTCTTCATTTCAGTAGTGGTCAACTACTGCTAAGTCTTTTGGCCATAAAATGGCAAATCATTGTGTAGATAGGGTTATGCATGAATGTATTTCTTGTTTAAAAGCCAAAACAATTTTTAGGTAACTTACCTCGAGATCGATTATTGGTATAATGAAATAAAGAAGCTTTGCAGTATTATTAAAAAAAAACTAAATGAGATATTAACGGGATATTTAGTTATGAAAGGTATTGAATGGAATTTTAATTCTCCCCAACTTTTGGAGGACTGTGGGTGTGCCATGTAAAGTATTGTGCAAAAAATAACTTTAGAAGAGTTTCTTATAGTAACAAATCAGATTGAAAGAATACGTAACAGTTATCCTATTTCCCCTCTATCAACAGATCCAGATGATCTTGAAGTGTTAACACCTGCACAATTTTTTTTGATAGCTTATTCAATGATAACAGTCTCCGAGAATGGTTTTTGTAATTTTTACCAAACAATAGACTTTACTTCTAACAATGGGTAACATATTTGACTCAACTCATTTGGGAAATGTGATCAGGAGTAAGGGGATGTTCACATAGAATAATGTGAAAATAGGGACTTTAGTTATCATTAAAGAAGGTAATATGCCAGTTTATAGCTGGTTACTGGGAAGAAGGGAGATTTTTTTTGCAGGAGGTGATAACAAAAGACTAGTAGTAAATGTGAAGGGGGGAAAGGCATATTTAAAAGAGATGTTTCAAAGATATGCATTTTGCCATTTGAGAATAATATTGGAACATCTCAGCTATAACTGTAAACACTTATACTTACATGGAATTGTGATTTATTGTTAATTAATTGACTTTATTGAACCTAGTGGGTTCAAGGGGGGAGTATGTTGCATCACAAGCAGTGACGTCAGATTTTCTGTTATATAATGGTTGCAAAGCAGTGAGGTTATGATGAAAGAGGAGAGTGAAAGGCCCATTCACATGGCGTTGGTTTCACACGAACAACTGTTTTGGATAATTTTTATGCCCGGTTTACTATTGAAAGAAAGACATGCAACCTTTTCTTTCCTTTCCAAAAAAATTGCAAGTTGTTCGTTTTCAACCAATCAGCTATCAGCTTGTTTGTAACGGGGAACCAGTTTTCCCTGTGTTAACCCCAAAGTGATCTATGGTGATTGGCTGCTGTGACAAAGCAGAAAAATTGTTCAACCGACGTGTGATAGCAGCCTAAGAGAGGTCATCAAGAATCATACCAGTTTGGAACATTGGGATGAACTGCAGATCTCATAGTAGAAAGTAGCTGTTATGAGAAATAAAAAGCTGAGGAAGTGTTCCCGTGTAGCCTGGAGTATACTAGCAACAATAAAAAGATTACAGTTCATCTCCATGTGATGTCTAATTTCATTTTACGAACCAGCACCTACAATGAGACGTGTTCAGTATATAATTTTTATGCTTAGCGCATCATGGTTTGTGAAGGGGAACTGTATTATACTGGACTTAACCCTCTCGCTGCGCATCCCGCGATTTCCACGGAGATGAAATTTTGCCGTCTGTTTAACTGTGCAACCCGCTCTTTCCTAGTTCAAGGTTTCCTTTCGGCTTTTCTGTGATGATTGTTTACTTAGATGTGGGCTAACAGATGGCGTTAGTTGTCCATGTTTCTGCCAAATATACAAGAATACGTAATGTACCATTTTGGGTGTGCTTTTCAGAGCTCAAAGATGTCTGGCAGGAAGCGTTTTGTGAGTGCCACAACCTATATTCCTGACAATATTTCCGACACTGATAGTAGTTTTGACTCTGCTTTCAAGTATATTGAAGATAGTTATAGTGAAATTGATGAGAATTTCTCGGATTCCTCTGCAGATAGTGATGAATCTGAAAATTCATTTTCTATTGAAAACGTTCGACAGTGGAGCAAAATTGATATGCATTTAAAAAAAAAAAAAAAAAAAAAATTACATATATGCAAATACTTTTATTAGTATATATGTTTAAACTTTGTATTTTATAAAATAAATCGTAATTTAACCAATATTAATTTTCCTTTTATATAATTATTCTTCAATTTTAGTATTCTGACAACCTTTTTCTATGATCTAATTCTATATTGAATAAAAACTTTTACAAAAAATTTTTTTATATTTTAATTCTAAAATATATGTAGATTTAAAATATGTAATAAAACAAATACACAATTTTTGAACCTATTTTGATAAAAAAAAGTACGCAGTGAAAGGGTTAACAGTAGTTGAGAGGGGACTTTATAATATGTTTAAGATCCTCTTTAAAAAAAATCTGATGTGTATACCACATGACTTCCTCGTACGGAATATTAAATTATACGCATTTTTTCTTGCATTTTATTTAAACTTATTCGATTGAATTAAATCTACTTCGCCGATAGCGCATAAACCACAATAGAATAAATGCATTCTTTAAAATTCACTTTGTTTACCATAGTGACACTCTCGCACTAGATTCACTTAACAGTATTATATTTCGTTCGTATTATAACTCAGAATGCACAAAATTTATATCATTTAAAGAATAGAATTATCTAATCATTGCCACATGTTCTATTCAAATACTTTAATAAAGCTAGAATGATGTATAAAAGAAATTAAGCAAACAAAACAAAAAAGAAACATTTTTTCACAGACGATTGAGTATTTCTCATTCAATTAATCCATTTCTCACTTCGTGAGAAAGCAAAAATACATAAAAACTCAAAATATATATATTAAAAATTACGAAGTAAATCTTAAACACTTATTTCCTCGGAAAAATTCCAGAAAGGATTAAGCATGATTTTAATTGGAAATAATAAATGAAGGCATTATCTTTGTTGTTGCGAAGCTAGTTTCTCTAGATTGGCAACAAATCCACTATCTTGCTGTTTCAAATGTAAACAAGCAATGGGCACCATCAAAAAAATTATTAGGCTTAGCGGCACTTAAACAACTTTAAAATTGCTAATAATTATAAAAATATTGCATAGAGATTTACTAAAGGCATAAAAACCTTAACCGGGAGATAAGAAGATAAGAACAACATAAGTCAATCATTTTTAAAGCAAAAAATGTACAGAGTATGGGTAACAGAGTGGATTAAATATGTTAATATATGTTTGGTGCGGCCGATTGCAACCAAAATACGACGTGCACATCTACATGTTATAGCAGGCCTATATACTAAATTTCAGCGTTCTGAGGCTACTCGTTTTTGAGTTATGCGAGGTACGTACGCACATACGTTCGTACAGACGCCACGAAAAATTCTCTTCAGAATTCATTTTAAAGCAGTTTTATAATTTTTTTGAAGGAAAAGAGTATTTTATTCTGTCCTTACGTACAGATATAACGCAAAAACATCGTTAAATTGCATTCAAAATTGATATTTTCATTGAAATATGCTGCCTAAAACTTTTCACGATTACAATACTTCCTTTTTACTTCGTACAAGGAAGTAAAAAGAAATTGGAAGATTTGTACTCAAATTTGGTTCCTTTTTTTTTTTTTTTTTTTTTTTTAAAGATACATACAATTGAAGTACATTAGATGTGTGGCAATGAAGAGCTTTGTAACAGCACAAAAGAAGATCAAGTCAAGTAAGCCAACAAATTATATATTTAATAAAATTCAACAAATACATACAATATTTATTAAGGAATAAATATATATGCATATATGTACAAAACGTATTAAAAATATGCATAAAATAACAGCTGCATGCAACAATCAAAGATTATAAACATGATGAATGGATGTTTATGAATTCATATGTTTCAGGTATTTTACAGATATATTTGTCTAAGAAAAGTTTGCCTTCAAAATACTTTACATCCAAAGTTAAACTTTTAAAAATAATAATACATGCTTAATATATCACAGTCATAAAATAATCATATCACAGTTTATTATGCTGAACATATCACAGTCAATATAGATATATAGTCATTTTCTTACACACAGAAGAAAACTAGGTGGTCTGAAGATTCACAATCATTGCTTTTCATGACTTCAAATTTATGTCAGACATTGCAATTGATTAACATCCTTGTAGACATCACAACTTGTATTTATTCCTCAAGTGTAACTGTCACTGTTTTGCATCAAAATGCTTAATGCAATTCAAAACAATAACTTCCTATAAAAGAAAAGAATAGAATATTAAAGTTTATCAGTATTTAAATTTGGAACATTCAGCATAGAAAATAAACATGCTAATTACTTGTTTATTTACAAATTTAATAACACGTTGACTGCCACGGCACTTTTCAGTTTTCAGTCCAAGAAGCCAAATCGATTTAATCATATTGCATTATTAAAAATACTAATTATGATTCGTAACAATCATTAAAATGTCTACAGGAATTTGTTTTGTAGGAAAAAAAAAAAAAAAAAAAAAAAAAAAAAAGAGTCCTACAAATTATCTCATTATTGGCTTTTGTTAGACAAAGCTCTTTGCAGAAGCCCGCTACGAGTTGATTCGTAGAGACATGCTTCGACTTGTTGTCTCAGTTCAGCTAAACCAAGCGCTAAGAGAGTAAGTAACTAGTAGTGGCGCAAAAGTGGAAAGTCAAGAAACTACAAGATAATTCGTATTGGGCATCCTGAAGAAAAGCAGTAATACGAGTTAGCTCGCGTTGGGCACTCAACATGTTAAATGGCCATTATAACGAACACGAGCAAACAGAGTGGTTCCCACATTTTCTGTAGATCCATCGTACACTATTGGAAAATGTATGATTGATATTCATATAACTGCAGATAGCCGACTGATGATTAGTTATTCAAGAGATGCAGGTTATTTTATATTGTACCCTTTGAAATTACATCTTTTATTTCATGCTGGAGACTCTGTATTAATAACATACTTAGCATCTCGCAAAGAAATTTTTTTTTGGCTGCTCTGTGACATTTTAGAATTTTCCAGCAAACAAAATACACTTGTTATTTCTTGATCAGGGCTGACCTAAAGATTATTTTTACTATAAAGTATACAATGAATAAAAGTTTACCATGTCTACAAATGATATAATAGTTATTAGTCTTGGAAACAGTATATGTATATAGCTACCACCAAGTGTTCTTAAACAGCTAGTTTTCTTCAAAAACTTCAACACATCATTTCATTGAACAACTCTGGGTCTGGATCTAAATCTAGAAGTATGGATGGGAATGAAACTATTCACTGTCAATATATATTTTTCTCTACATGACTGTACTATATTAAGTTGATTTAGTTTAATAATTCTGTTTACCTATTGTATGTTTAATATATATTTTTCTGTATATGCCCATATAATATCTTGCTATATTATATTAAGTTTAAGGAAATTTGAAAATAAATCAAACATTTTTAAAATAGTATTTGATGAGTATTGTCTTCATCAAATTAAAAAAGTTGAATTTGATTTTATATTAAAACTCAATTTCTTGCAAGTACTTTAAAACAAACTGCATGAATCAAATTTCTAAATTGTTGTCATTTAAAGAACCAGATAGTTTGTTAACGTTTACATTTAAGCAAATTCCTCGTGATAAAAGCTTTAGTTTTAAAATTGATAATATAACTTCTGTTATATCAGAGGTATAGCCTCAGTTCTCTTTGATACTCACATAATTTTCTAACTATGTGTAATTTCTTTATATCTCATATTTGCAAACAACTGCATATATTATAAGCAATCTTTATTACCTATACAAAAGGTAAACAGAATTAACAAACTAAACAAATTTAATACGAGTATCATACAGCAAGATATAATACAGTCATATAAAGAAAAATATGTCTTGACGGTGAAACGGCAACACTGACATGGCGATGGCAGAAAGGCCTAAACTCATTGTTCAATTCTCCTTCTTGTGGGTATATATCAGCCACTCCAAGCACTGCATCCTGGGCAACTTTAAATATTCGATTGATTAAGAAAATAAACAATCAAATGAATCTCTTATATTCAGATATGCTGAATCCATGTAAGAGATATTTTTTCAGGGAGGGAGGGTAAAATACAGATGCCTTTTTCCCCTTTAAATACATTGGTAGAAGTAATACCACCTCAGAAATGTTGGATTGGTAAACTCAAATCATTGGCAATTATTACTGGTATATTAAAATGGAAAAATGCCAAGAGCCCATTTAAGGAATTTCAATGACTCAGATCATTGTATCTTTCTGTTTATCATAAGTAGTCAGAGTCGTTTCAAATGATAAACAATTACTTGAATGCATGTATTAACTAATTTAAAACAAATATTATAAAGCATTTTGAGAGATGAAATAGGCAAATTCCTGACACTTTTAGCATACGCACTGCAGTATAATAATAAAAAATACTTTAAAAAGTTTTCTAGTTATTATTCAGATTTTATTTTTAATAACTAAAATTTAGTAAATTAATTTCATCTAAAAGAATGTATTTCATTATTATCTGATAAAATGACCACTTTTAGCAGTGCCACAGTTGGCCCCTTTAACAGTTTTTACCAAAATTTCAAGCCTAATTTTTTTAAAATTTAAATTTAAATCAATTTGCTCTTAAAATTGCAGCAATTTTGATTTCAAGTTTTTATGATAATTACCTAATAATTTTTATTGTAGTTCACCAGCGTGAAGAACGTTTAAATACACATTTTTAATACTGACTTCAGAATGCTTTCCGAAAAATCAGAAACTGCTTTCATACCTCTGATGTACTCTTTTGTTTTTATATTAAATAATGCACACAAACTATAGTTTAATCTAAGCAAGCATTAACACAACATTTACTTTTATATGGAATTTCAGAAGTATTAATTAAATCACCTTAAAAATTGTTCCTCCAGAAAAATATTCATATGAAATCTTGAAGTATGAAAGAGATGAAAGCATGTTTTTTTTTTTTATAATCTGAAAAATAAGTCCTAAAAATAATGCATACTTCATTATACAGATCAATTGTATAAAACATAGAAACAGATAATACTTCTTTGAAAGTATTACATTTGTTCTTTGAAACAATTAATAATTTTAATATAATCTAAAACTGGAATAAATATGAACAGTATTTTATTCAATTCTGAATATTTTTCAAATCTTGCAGATCATCTTATAAATAATCTAAATTATAAAGACAATTATAATTACAAGTTTGAAATTCCAATACATTTTAAAGTACTATTCTGTGACTGGCTAAAAGTAGTTTAGCACCTCTCCCATAGATGGGAACATTTTCATCCCATATAATCAAAAGTCTAGGTAATGCAAGTCTTGTAATAAGGAAAACGCTAGTGATACATATTTTCAGTCAAATTTCTTATGTTATGGAAAACCTTGATGTTATAATGCTTATGTAAATTACAGTTAACCTTTGATACCAATGATTATAATGCCATAATAATGCTTTACATTAACTGCTAGTTAACAACTTTAAAAAACTAACATATTATAATTAAATACAAATAACCCAATAATTAATAAAATTATTAAATAATGAGTCTTTTCAAGATTACATAATTTTATAAAGATTTCTGTAATTAAGATTTTTGTTATCAAAGTAGTTAAATCTAATACAGAATTTTCAAAAAGTTTTATAAAAATATGTAAGCTAAAGAAAATTAAAATCTGAAAATGTAATAGTAGTAGTTTTATATTGCTTTGACAGCACATGCCCATTTTCAATTTCAAGGGTAAAACATAAAATCAGTTTTATTATACATTTGTCAGAAATTCTGTCAGTACAGATTAAATATCAACAAAATTATCACAAAGTTTACATTAATTGCTATTTTAACAGTATTTTTAAACAACAGTGCTATCAGTATGTGATCTAGTACTTTTAAGAATATGCAGAACTTGAAGAGTTGCTTGTAAAATGATCTAAGTACTTCTTTCTGAACATTAGTCACTTTTTCTATAACATAAATTTTAAACGAATCTAAGCCCAGTCTCCTTTGCTTAATCGTACTAAGGTAATAAATGCAATGCTTAAATGATTATTCAGGGTAATCTAATTCAAAATAATTAAATTCTAAAAATTATATATTTTTCAAATCACCAATTTATCATCTTTTAACAAACACAGTAAAAGTCCCATTATCTGAAAAGTTTGGGAAATACTGAATGTCGAACGGTTCAGCGTATAAGAAAACAGAATTCACATTAGGAAAGCTAAATCAGTGGGAAAAATTTCTGCTCTAAAATTATAAAAACAATCATCTTATTTGTTACTAACTTGAATATTAAAAGCCTGGGAAGAGAAGAGGGGAAAAAACACATTTTAATTGCACAAGCTGATGTATTTTGTAGGCTTTGATGCAAAACGATCAGATGAGTTTCTGAACATAAAAGTTGACGGAAATATTGTCAATCAATTCCGGCAGAAGTTTAAATAGCGCATAAATAAAACAGATCATTCTTTATTTAGATAATAAAAAGAGATGCATATTATGAATACTGCATATAAAAATTTTTTAAAGGTTAAGTATGACTGCACTTCTACCATTTTTTTCCTTACAAATTTTAGTGTAAATTACACAAATTGTTTGCACACATTTTGAAAGAATTTAATATAAATATATTTAGAATATAGAATATTATTAGAATTTAATATTCAAAATTAAGGCTTCCAGGTGAACATATGAAGGACTACATTATTCAAAATCTGATGGCTATACTGTCATTTTTTTATAATGTGAGGAACATATACATACATGCAGATGTTAAAAGCCATTTAAAGTAAACAATGCAAAATCGTGTTTCAAGACTAAAAGCTCATTTGGGCTTTTAAATTGCATATCATAATTTTTTACGTCACGTAATCTTTTATCTGTTTTCAAACTCACGTACTATGGCTTTTGTTGAAGCCCACATCCTGTAACTTTGAATATGCTCTACTAAGTGCCGTTTTTTTCCCCCTCCCAAAAATGCAAGGAAAAATAGAACTTATATCCTTCTTTACAAAAATTAAAGCAGCTTATCAAGAATTATTCGAGTTTACACTATGCCAGTAGGAACATCTCATGACTGTGTTGTGAAATCAAGCTTATCCATTATTGGCATTAAACAGCATAGTTTGGCAACAATGTATATGAGTTAACAGAATTATGAGCTCTATAATGGTGTTACAAATCTCTCTTTTACTAAATTTTTCAGCCAAAAAATTTTTTTTCTAAAATATTTCAGTTAGTTGAATGTCAGATAGTTAATCTTTTACTGTAGGAAAAATAAGCAGCAGTTATAAATCTCAACTTAGTTCCAACTACAGTTCTGAAGCCAGCTAACTACAAGTTGTAGATCGCATACTATATGATTTCTCTGCAGTGTTTATTTAATGAACTAAAGTTATCTTTCCTCTTTTCTTAATACCTGAAATCAATAAAACATAATGCCAGATTATATACTAATGAGCCAAAACATTATGATCATCCCCACATTTTTTAATGAACTCCTCTGGATGACGTGGAGGGCACAACATTGAGTGGGAATGGTATTTAACTACTGCTGGAGAAGGTAAGGAATCATTCTTGCACTTTTTGTGAGTGATGGGAAAGGCTGCTAATCTAAGCAAATTCGGTAGAGGGGCAGATTGTAACGGCCTGAAGACTCGGAATGACTGTCCGACTGGTAAGTTGTTCATGACTTGCCGTTGTTAGTTTTTACGCAACGTGAATAAATGATGGTGAAACCAACACTAGATGCCAAGGTGTAAGATGTCCATGCATCATCAAAGAAAAAGGATGTTGGAAACCATTCCACTTGGTACAGCAAAATTGGCATCAGACAAAACTGGCTAACAGCACAATACACCGCACATCCAAGTGTCAGTATTTCAGAACACACAGTTCAGTGGACACTGCTGGATATGGAACTCTGCAGCAGATGTCCCACTCTGTGCCTCTGTTGACAAAGTGTCATTGCAACCAGGGCTGCGGAGTCGGTAGGGAAAATGACCGACTCCCTCATATATATATATATATATAAATAATGTAAATATATACACATGGGTTACAGCTTTTTTTTAATATAAAAAAAGTAATAGATGCTACAGAAAAAAAAAAAAATAAATAAAATAAAATAAAAATTAAAAAAAAAAATGATGGCATAGCAAATTATTTATATTAATTAGCATTTATTATGAAATGGAAAAACTGGCATTAGTTATTTCTAAGAAACAGTATAGCTTCGGCAAGACCTTCTTTGTTGGAGGGCCATAGATATGATCTGATAAACTTCAGAGCTGAGAAGAGTCTTTCCATACTAACTTGAGTAGGAGGTACAGCTGTTACTGTTAGGGCTACTTCTTTTAACTTTTCAGTATAGATTTTTATAAGTTCTAAAAGAGGTATCTTGCAAGCACAATCATATTTCTCTATTTCTTCAAAGGCCGTGTAGAAATCTTGTTTGTATTTTTGCATTTTTATATCGAAAGGCTTTTGATTCTTTATTTGCATTCGATTTGCGCCTTAGCCTCTTCAATATTATCTAAAAATATTTCTCAAAATCTAATTCATCACTGAAAGAGGATGATAGAGACTCAATTGCAATGTCTGCAGTTTGACTGTCCTGATTCGAATTCTCCAATTCTTCTGAGAATAATTTCATTCTTAATGAAAGTTCATAGATGACTTTTTTTGCCTTTTTAATTTGTTCGTCATCCAAGAAAATTCGGTGTTTCGGATCTACATATATTGAACTCAGCAAGATCTCATTGTCTAGCAAACTAGTTTCTCTTTTCTTCATTGTAGACATGATTCCTTCTGCAATAAACCCTCCATTTCAGAAAGAACACACTTCACATTTTTCCATTCTCGCCTCTAGTCAATTCTTCAAATTGCAGCTTTTTTATGGCTATATACGGTGTAGAAAGAAGAGTTTCCAATTCTGCAAGATCATTCCACAGTCTTTCTGTTAGTGAAACAGTAGGGTTATCTACATCTTCTAAAAAGGTTCTTAATTCTAACAACCCCTTCATCAAATATGTACTTCCTTATAGCGTTGCTTGATCAATAATTGCTCCTTTTCCTGCTCGCTTCCTAAGAATGGCATCAATTTTGGTAGTTCTTGCTGCTATTGCTACTTACCTAAATTTACCAGTGAGATTTGTAACTAAATGAATCAATTTAATCACTAATGACAAATATCACATCCATCCTCCTCCCTTATATTTATTTATTAATATGTCAATAAAATAGAAAATAACTATTTATTAATGTATATAGTTCATAAATAAAAATAATAACTCAGCTTGTCATTAATTTTTTTTCAATTCATTTTTATTTCCTTGTAAATTCAAACTGTCCAACAAAAACTGGAGTCGGAGTCATAGTCGACCTGTTTTTAGCGACTCCAGCTCTGACTCCTTTTACCCCACAATCTGCCCGACTCCACAGCCCTGTCGCCAACTGCACATACAGTGGGCCAAGGAACATTGAGACTGAATGACGAACAGTTGCTCTACTAATCCAGAGCAGGTCATGCACAGGCTGGTGGTGACAATATTATCCTTTGGGGGACATTTTCATGGGTGGCTGTGGGACCCTTAATTGTGGCAGAAAAGATCATGAAAGCTGAACATAACTGCAGATCAGTTGCACCCTTAAATGGCATCTGTCCTCCCAAATGGAAATGGAATCTTTTAGTAGGATAGTGCTCCATGTCACAAGGTTCTAATTGTGTTGGAGTGGTTATCGAGGAGCATAAGAATGAATTCCAATTAATGTTCTAGCCACCTAGCTCACCAGATCTTAACCCAATAGAGTACATTTGGGATGTAATGAAACAGCAGCTCATAGCTTAAATACCTCTATGTTGGAATATCTGGATTTTGCATGACTGCTGCTTAGACATTTGGTACAATCCTCTAGTCATCTATCAAGAACTTGTGGCATCCATGCCAAGGCGAGTTGCAGCTGTTTTGCAGGCAAAAGGTCGCATAACACTTTCGCTGTTTTGCAGGCCAAAGGCCGTTGTTGAGTAGGTGGTCATAATGTTTTGGCTCCTCAGTGCATTTCAAAATGATTTAGTTATTTTCACAAAAGGAGCTTTCTTTTAATGTCAAATCAAGTAACTAAATTTAGATTGAAGAGAAACTTTTTTCAAACAGGAATAATTAAAAGTTTTTACACTATAATCCTTGAAAGAAAAACATTTTTTCAAACACAAATAATTGAAAATATTACACTATTCTTCTTTAGGGCTTCAGAAAACATGGAATGTTAGTTGAATAATGATCATAATGTTCCATCAGGTGTTTATTCATATTTATCATATAATTCATAATAAGTGATATTACCTGAAAGAAACACCTTTAGAAACAGATATTTTAATACACTGAACATCACAAATTAGTATCAGGTTATAATTAGGTTCTTTGGTAAAAAATTTAACATTGATACTTGCAAATACAAATCAAGCTTTTCTTAATAAGCATAAGCAAACTCTTTTTTATAACAATCATTCAATCAGTATTACTTATATTACATGCTCTGCCTTTTCAAGTTCAAAGAAAAAGCATTTTTATTTTTTATACTACTTTAATCAACCCACTGCAAAAGCTATGCCTCTCAGAGGGTTATATCATTTTGTTATAATAATATATATTTATTCACAGATAATTATAATTAACCATCAAAGATCATGCTATCAGTTTAAGTGTTATCTTAAAGTGCCATGACAAAGATGTTCTTTCAGATATAATTTAAGAAGGCTAAGAGAAGTTACCGAATTACTGCATTTTTCAGTATCACTGATAAGTGCATCTGAAAATGATAATGAAATAACAACTTCAAATATCAATAATCCTGACAGTTAATGATTTTTTGAAAATAATATCTCTTCTGATTATTGTTAACATCTGGTTAATTTAATTTAATGTTTTTTAAGGTAATATTTGTAGCTGAAGTGGGTGTACTGTGGGTTGGTAGAAATTGCAAACAAATTATTCTACAAAAGATACTTAAGTTTCATTTATGTAGATAATGTCCTAGTTGATTTGGCACTGCTGATTTAGAAAATACTGCTAAAATCAACACTATAAAAATAATTCTGAGTGAAACTATACAGAAAAATAAATACCATCTTTTATTATTATTATACATCTTTATATTTTAATTTCTTAAGATTCTGATTTAATCCTTACATAAAAGGAAAATGAAAATTTCAAAATTTTGTACTTGTATCATGCTTTCAAACTACATAATTAAAAATGAATATGAAAAATACAGCAATACTTGCTTTCTTTCCTACTTGCTTTCTTAAAAAAAAAAAAAAAAAAAAAAAAGTGGGTACTAATAAGTTAGGTAGCAGAGAAATAGATGTATCATGTTTAAGCATTACAACTAAAGAAATTGATGAATATTATAGTAATTGGAATAATTGGAAACAAAGGTCACAGATTTAAAAAATACACAACAAAAGCAGGTTACCATTTTTAAACATAATGCTCAGCTATTTTGTACTCAAGACTGAGGTATGCTTAGAGATGATAAGTGGCATGTTTTGCATAGATTGGCATACAGTTCAATTGTAATGTTCTTGAATTCTTCGATAATTGTTTAAAACTGTCGGTTTTTGAAATAATATGGGAGCAGACTTTATCCTCATGGCACCCTAAGAGAAGAAATCTGATGATGTAAGGATTGGGAAATGGGCCAATCAGAACTTAAATTGTGCTGGAGCCTCACTCTTGTACTTCTCAGTTTCTGACATAAATCGTACATCTATTTGGAGTGCACCAGAGCCCTAAAAAGGCTAAGTACTTGCTTATGTAAGTGAAACAGTGTTTCAGAAGAAATATTTTACTTTAAATATACATTTAAAATAAATTATAGTTCCGAATTCATGGCTATTTTTCTCTGGAGAACAAACACTTCACTTTGACGGAGGGTAAGACTTTTAAAGAGAGAAAATCCCCCCCACATGCCAAAGGCTTATTCTGCAGGTAATGCAATGCATGTAAAAATGTTTTGTTCCCGAAACTATTAAGAATGATTAAATTGTTCTTCCACATCCAGTGCTAGTGACTTCTTCCTCCAGAGCACCTGCAGACTTGAATTATGTAACGAAATACAGGGGACAAAAGTTGACTTATGTAGACCTTACATTTGTTCGCATGTTGTCACTGGATCGGATTCAGGGAAAATTATTTAACTTTTCTACTGGTGTGCTGGAAAAAGAAAAATCCTCCCTCCTGCTGAAATAGTATGTTATTTTATGACATATTTAGTATTTAAATTTAGCCCAGAGGCTGACTGAGCTATTTCTTAGTTTTTGTATAAACTGCAAGTCCAATCGGAACCCCAAATAAGATGAGGTCCGATATTTTATTTCATCTATTTATTTTTAATTTAATAATATATTAAATTTTTTATATCTTTACATTTATTTAGTTTTAATTTTAATTAAATTTTTTAATTATTAGTTATGTTATTTATTGATTTCCTTTTCTTTCTGATGCCCTTTCACAGGGCTCTGATACTTCTAAATTAAGCCCTGAGGTCAATCATGCTAATTGCCCGTTTTCTGAATGACTGATATGAAAAATTTGCTGATGTGAAATTTCTTAAATGTCCCCATCCTAAAATTCATTGATATTGCACAAAAATCTTTCCTTTCTACATGAGACCTATCCTGATGGTTCTGCTTCAGCTCGTTTTGAAGTTATATCGCTTTGAAACAATATACAGCTAATTCTGCACCAACCAATATTATATAAGATACATATTAAATATAAAACATCTCCACATACACAGAAATAGAATTGTTATTGTAGGAGTGGCTAACTATTGATATAATATCCAAATTATAGAAACTAAGCATAAGAGGGATCTCATGAAAAGTCAATATGTAATTTGTTATATTTGATAAAGCAGATTTAAGCATTTTTATGTGTAGCACCAAATCATTAGGCCCAAGAAATGTTATACATCATATCCACAAAGAATAATTTACAAACACATCATATTAAGTGCTTTGCTAATTAGACCAGTGATCTCCAAACTTTTTAGATTGTGTATCTCTAAGATGAAAATAATTTTAGTTTACTTCATATAACATAGTTTCATATTATGTTATGAAAACAAGTGCACATGCACTTTAAAGCTGGTATACATTTATGATGTTTAGCTCACCAGATGCTCATGAAAACAAGACACCACAACCAATGAAAGAAGCTTGCATTTATATGACACGTGATCATACATACACAAGTGACCATGAGTCTACTTCTTTGGCATACCCAACTACACAATTTACAATTATCACTTAGCGTAATCTACGAGGTACACATACTCTATTTTGGAGATCACCTGAATAGGAGTGCCTGAAATATACTTTTTTGGCTAGTGGAAGGAACATGATGGGTGCATTATTATGATCTTGCTCTTCAAATCTTGCTTTTAATAGATTTTTCATTTGAGATACAGCCTGCTACATATATAAGGTTATAAGAATTTTTAATAATAAAATCTATTTTAATTAAATAGTTTACAAAACTGTAACATAATTTTCTTCTTAATTTAAGACTATCAAATGCCAAGAGGTTAAGCTACACGATACTGGTAGTTATCCTCCTAGACTCCTTTCTTAGAAGTGAATGGTTTGTCTGTATTGCGTTTTTCTTGCATGTGTTATAAATACAAACTGTTTCACTTAAAAATGCATTCTTTCCCTTACATAAATGGTTAATGATCTGCTATAATTTACTATCTAGTTAATCAAGATACTTTTCTAAGTATAGCAAAGTACATATTGACAGTGATTAATATTCATCTTATTAAAAAAGTGCAAAATTTTTTGTTAGGATATATTTAAAAAAATTATTTAATGCCTATGCCAAAGTTTGCATTGATATAATTTATCTTATTATCAATATCTGTGCATTATAGTATGTCACTAAATTATGTTTAACTTTTATGTTATTGAAAAATAAAATCTTAAATAAAATACGTCTTAATTTTGGAGTTCAAACCACATTAATATCCATTACATTAAAATATTTATGCCCAAATGACAGCATTTTCAAATATGACAGAAGCTGTCAAAACAAATTTTTCCATTTTACAGTTTTATATAAATCTATAAACATGCAAGTGACTGAGAATGTAAGAGCCAAAATACTTTGGTTCACAATGTTACAATTCAGTCAACTTAAAAAAAATATTGATAAAATCCAAGCATATAACAGTGATGTCATTTTTCAACAATAAAATATTTTTTTAATCATTCTAAAATAATTTTTTTCTTCCAATATAAACAGAGTGAATGCATAGTAAGAATTATATTTTATAATTATGATCAAGAAAAAAATGACTAGTTTCAAGATTAATCCTGAACTGCAATAAGTGCATGCACAAATTATAATAAATAAACAATACACTGTCACATATATACATTTGTGCAAAAATTAATAACATGATAGTAAACAATTTTTAAATATGACCAAAGATAATTAAAATTCATGCACACACAATCTCACAATTGATAATATGGATTATTGTGACTAAAATAAACTACTACATAATAAAATTTGTTTTAATCTTACAAATTAAATTTTAATTCATGTCTGAAAATATTGCTACAAATTTTAAAAATTTCTTATTTGTAAAATTTTCTTTTAAACTTTAAATATTTTAAGTTCAAAAAGCTGCAATAAATACTTTAATACGTGCTAAGTTACCAGCAGCATTTGACAAACTAATTTTATATAAGTAAATAAAAAACTTAAAAAAGGTCTCATTTTCTTACAAGATAACTAGAAATACTGCCTTGTCACTAAACTAGAGCCAGATATAATAGTGTGCATAAAAATTTAATGATTATTCATGAGAAGGAACTAGAAATACACTGGTATTCATAATTAAAGTTATTACAAACACATTTTTTGGCAGCAATTCAAAAACAGTCACCATTAATGTTTTAAAAATTGATATTACACATAACAAGGGGACTGGCATATATAATATAAGCATCTATTGTTTGTCAAAACGTTAACAGGATATATACGGATATGCTGGTTTTATAATTTGTAAAATTCATCCACAGAATTGTGTTTTGCGCTAGAAATATCAAGACGTATCGAGTTAAGCTGCAATAAATTCTCACAATTCCTTACATATTAGACTGAGATGAAGCCATTGATACAGTATGGTTAGTCTCAAGTGGAGGTTGCTCCATGGTTATGAGTGTTTCAAATGGTGGTATTCAATTTCAAGCAATTGATATCATCACTAAGAGCCATGCTACACATAAATGATCACTACGTTGAATTAAATGTTTGATAACTGTATATAGACG